AAAAAACCAGATTGTAATCGTAAGCCACACAAGAGGGAGGCCAAATAGCCCGAATTATGAAATATCTGAACAAGACTCTCATTTAAAAACGCTCAAAGAAACCAAAAGAGAAAAAAAAGATGAATCTCCTCACTTTCGACAAAGATCAACCTTAGCAGCGTCGTTCATTTTGTTCAAATCCATTGTTATGTCTTCCGAAAAGGCTACCCTGCAAAAGTTCAGGATGGTTACTAGTGGACTATAGAAAAGAGAAGATTGATACGATGTCATTCGATAGTCACATCCGACAGAGAAAAATCGATTTCAGCGCAAACGAAGACGCTCGTTATTCACAAGTTCTCATCAATTAGTCTGAGCAACGAATAAACAAGCAATCGTCACTCACACACCAAATCGATTCATATTTATGCGGCATATCATCATGATCCGGACCATAATGAAGGGATTCACTTGGATTGATTGCACGAAGCAAGTAAATAAAAAGAATCAAATATGATAGTGAAAACAAATTTTCGAGAAATTGCGTGTTGAACTGCGTCAGATCACTTTCTTGGACACATTGACAACAGCAGTTGTGTGAGCACCTCCGCATCTTTTTCTGTGTTGTTTCATCAGTACTCTACCCTTCACAATTTCGTTATATGCGAGGAGCATTTTCATCTCACCCTGCAATGCACATGCTCTGATATTGAAAATGCCAAATGAATCAAGAATAACGAGATTCTCCGCTAAAAGGAAACGTGGTACCATATGGCACCACACTGTTGTGAACGTGTCGAACATGTTGGAAACCGCGCATGTTTTGCGTTTTGCGGCCGAGTGGATTCCAGTGAAATTTTTAGGAATCTTAACAAGCGAATTTGAAAAAAAAACTTACTGTATGATACAGAAGAAACCATATCGAGTGGAAATGGCAAATAAAACAAAAGAAAAAAGTGTAAACGAGTGAAAAATGGAACCAAACTTTCAATAAATGGAAGCTAGTGAAGGACTGGAACAAAAGAAAAAAATGTTTCCACTACCGGTTTTTGTTAAACGTAATAGAAGGTAAAGTAATGAACTGCACTCTTTTAGCTTCATGCAGATAGGTTGAAAAGTCTATTTGAGTTCCGAAGTGATTTGTAAGACAAAATCAACTCCATGAAATCGTTTCCCTACACGGCGCAGCGTACCCTAGTTTTCTTGTTAACGACAACCAAGACGGTTTTTACGACTGAACTGAACTGTTCAGCCTAAACATGGAGTTTCCAGAAAAGTCATGACCAATCGCGGAATTAAGAAGACCGAAAGTATGCGATTTCGAAGAAAATTACATGGATAACTTCGAATAAATGCTTCGATAGAAAAAAATGTTTTGTTGACACAATTAGTCGTCCACTGCTTGACGAATTACACTGCAAGCAATAGTTCAGGCCGTCTCGTCTCCCACGTAATATGCGGAAGAATGAACAGTATTTTGTATCTCTCTTCCACCACTTCAATAAGAAGCTAATGAACAGGACGAGTTCCAATTGCAAAAATGGAGAAATTCGGCAAACGCTTGAGAATCCCGTATCTGCAGGGCAGTACTCAAAAAAACAGCTAACGTCTAGCAACCGATGAAAGTTCCTTAGTTTCCATAACAATACACGGCGCATCCATATAAGAATAGCTACCACAAATAGAGATGAAATAAAGGATATCCAACAATTTGTTAGTAAATACTCAGTGATGTGAAGGCTGTGACAAGAGGGAGCGAACGACGGCTGCCAGCCAGTCAATTAAGCGACGCCCGCCCATTGGGAGATTGATCCCCTCCTCAGCAACATTCTATGAGCTCATGCCGATGACCCATAAGCTCGACAGTAGTACACGGATTACACAATAAAATAGATATATTACAATCTTGAGAAACCGTCCGAAGGCTTTGGTTATGAGTATAAGCACAAAATTCTGGTCAGAAGCTGTTCCCAACCGATAAGTCTTATAACCTTTTATATTTCCCTAGAAATACCTCGAAAGACACAAATGGGAAGGATAAAACAACAGGCGTCGATTAATCGAACTGCGATCTTCCCAAATGAACACTTTCACAATTTCTTCTCGAATAGTAGAAAACATTCCCCTCTTTGCTGAGCTAACAAATTATCGGACGAAGAAGAAATGTGAGCCACCGGGATGTAATCGGGGTAAAATGGGGTCGAAAGCTGCCTATGGCGGCCTCTCTCGCTTTTATGAACACGGACCACATAATTAGGAAATGGACTTCCTGACGCCGCTCAGTGCTTGTGACAAAGAAGCATCACCTTCAAATCTGAGGCTTTACACACACAGTAATCCGTACTAGGATTTTCCTGAATACAATCATAAGATTCTGATCCGTCATATTTGGGTCCAATTTCAGCGAAGTGGCAGAATTTTAAGCGTTTAAGGAAGGATATGAAGTACTCGGAGCTGTGCCACGACCACGCCATTTCCCTGCAGTATTGTGATGATGTGAGTTAAGGCCGCGTGCTAGTTCGCAACTCCGGAGTTTAGGATAGTACGCGACAATGGAAAATATGTATTGACGTGAAGATTAAGATAGTAGTAGATTCGGATAGCGCTGACAAGATTAGATAGCTACTGACTGATTCACTGAAGACACCTAATCTACTACAATGTTGTCAACGCAAGCTCCTACTCTACTACTCTACTACTATCGTAATGTCCTATCGCCTACTATCCTAATCTCCCGAATCACAAACTATGAACGCGGCCGAATGGAATGAAGAATAGTGAAACGATATTGACAACCAGCTGTGGTATACTCGATATCGGTGAGTTGGGGTGGGCGTGTCACCGGAAGTGACGTGCACTTGATAGAAACTATGTGGATAAGCTGCTTCCAACATACATCGCTGGATATCAGCAAAGCATGCTGGCAACAGCTTATCCACGCAACTTCTATCAAGTGCACGTCACTTCCGGTGACACACCCACCCCAACTTTCGGATATCGACTGTACTTACACCGACATTGACTGGTTTAGCAACTCACTTATGATTGTACAATAATTTTCTTATCTAAGGACATATTCGATAAACTCCAGAAAACTTTGTTTGAAATTTTGATTCAATTTTGATGACGTATTTGAGAACGCTTCAAAACAAACAAGACCACGGTGAGGTGTAGGTAACGCGGACATAAAGCGACTCTTTTCGCTTCTCGCAGCACGGAACTTTTTTGCATCGGGATCCCAGGTGTACTGCGATCAGTGGTGCACTAGGGTTCTCGCAGTGAATAGCTCCGCGCTTGTGCTAGCGACCATCATAAACAAGGTGTGGCTTGAACGCCGATCGATGACTTCTTCGATCAGTTCATTATGACAGCTGATCGTGCGATGACAGTACTTATCAGGTAATTGTACGCTTTAGCAAAAAAAAAGATACGTGCGCAATGATAAATGATAAAATAAATGATATAATCAGACGTGAAACATGTGTGCAACTGAATATAAGAACCATCGTGGTGATGACTTTAGCATTCAGTAAGGTTTAATGACGTCAAAGCAACGAGATAACAACAGAGAGGACCAATGAGCTTGCTGCACGAAATGCTTTGTAGAAGAGGTGCGTTTCAAACTTTGACCAGGTCAGGTCACCGAAGGTCTCGGACCAAACAGGAAGACTAGCTAGGAAACGATTCCAAACTAACTTGAGTCTTAGTCACTCAAATGGGAAAGCAACACAGTATACTTGAAGAAAGAGAAGTGAAAAAAAAACACTGCAAGGAACTTCATCCTCAGATCAATTCAGAAGATGTCTAAACACGAATAGATGACTGATTGTTGCTGAACTTCTATACCTGCTGCAAAAATTATACAAAAAGATACTCAAGGAAAGAAACAACACATAAACCTTCAGAGGACACATGTGCATTGAAGAGAAAGTTGTCATTTGACGTATAATTGTGAGTGTTGGTCGCATTGTGCAAACAAAAGACTGGAATTGACGTCTGTGGCACAGTTGTGTTTCGTTGGTTGCAGTGCTCCCGATTTTGGTGACTTTTGTTACCGATTCGTTCTTTTCTACGAAATACGGGTCTATTACAGTTAGGTTTAGAGCGCTCAACAAGTTCAAAACGACGGATAGCATCTTCCCCTAGTAAAAAGGTTCAGGACTAAGCCTCAGAAGGGAGGGAAACCCCGGGTTCGTGAGCAATCTTCGCTTTCTCGGGGGGGATTTCCTCCCCCTTCCTAGGCTTAGTCCTAGCTGATCACTAGGTAAATATTACTTTTCATTGACGTTTATGTTACAAAGTACAAGAACACATTATACAAAAACCAGGGTGCTAACTTAGTTGGGGGGGGGGCCACGCGGCGGCGCGGCAGTCTGCTCGCCTGGCATGTTCGGAAATCCGTGGGCCAGGGGGAGTGTAGGCAGTCTAGGGGGTGGGGGTGAGGGCAGTCACTTGACATGCGTGAAAAGCTGGAATGTTCGAGTTTACACTGTCTCGCTCGAGAGAGCGCCAGGTGAGCAACTGCCGCGCCGCCGCGTGGTCCCAACTAGGTTGGCTGATAGCACTTCATAACTTTGAAGGAGTCCTTGAGCCAAACTGGCATTAGAGCAGACTGTGCACCGCAATATCCACCCCAACTAGAATAGACCTCAAAATACTCATGACGTTTCGAAAAACATCGGCGCCTTTCATGATCATTAGGTATCCTGGGCGCAATGTGGCTCGGGGGGGGGGGGGGGCACTCTGAGAAAAGTCATCTAGGACTAAGCCTAAACAGCAGGGACGAACTCCGGAGAATACGAAAATTGCTTCCGTACACCGGAGTTCCTCTCCTCTTCAAAAGCTTAGTCCTAAAACGGAGCGTTTCCGTGATTTTGACGCGATGTTGCGAGGTGCCCCCCCCCCGAGCCACATTGCGCCGGTATCCTGGCTATTGCCGATTCTGGCAGGAGAAGGATCGTCTAATAGTTGATCGTCTCATCGTAACGACTGTAAATCACACAACACAAGATACGTATATATGAATCGTCCGATCTGATCGGACTTATCGGACGATCGGACGATCAACACGCAAGCAAATGCTGTACGGTTTTTACGGTTGTCACGATCGGGCAACCAGCTGACCATAAAGCGACGTCCTAGGTGTTGTATGATTGTACTGTGCTCTTGATCAGTTCTTCTGAACCGTGTGATGGTCATTTTTA